TGGATAAGGCATTTGTTGACTCAGTTTTGATCTGGTCGAAAAATTGTTCAATGTATTTGACAATATTTTCATTTGTAAAACCAGTTATTTCCATTTTGGTATCATATGATAATGCAATTGCATAAGGACGAGATGTTAAAATATGATGTTGCGTCTCACATATATGTTTAAATACACTTTTTAATTGTTCAGGAATATTTTGAGCAAATTCATCATAACCATCTAATATCCAAAGAACGTGCCCTTTATTACATTTGTCTTTAAAGTTTTGTTTTATTTCGGTGGATATATCATCAACTTCGAAATATTCTCTTTTCCACAAGATCAATGGGTGAGTACTTTTTCCCTGATGGATACTGACCATCTGTCAATGAACGTAATCGAATCAAAATAACAAGTTCGTATTGAGACCAAATTTCACCTTTTGCCCATCGATAAGTAACATATTGACAAAATGTCGATTTTCCAATACCAGCTCGTCCGAGCCTGAGTACCTTCTTTATTTGATCCTTGCATTGTTCGAAAATATCCTTGACATCAATAGTAGTCTTCTTGTCGTATATCTCTTCAAAAGTACCAAGAATATCATTGTATTGATGTGATCCGCGATCGCCCTGTTCATTTGCTCGACTGAACTGATCCTCATTGTTATATTGTTTTAGTCTCTTCTCTTTTTCTTGTTGCTCCTTAGTTTCTACTAAAGCCAAATTTATGTAACTCTGTTCCATCGGAAATTCTTTTTGATCGTTTATCATTAGTTGGATCTTATTTTCTTTGAGATATTTTTGTCGAATGGAATCCCACGGTCGTACCGGTAATGGAATAGAATTTGGTGTATATATTGGTGATTGATGCTTGATCCTTTCAATGAGTTCTTTTGTTTTTAATTGAATATTGGCGTCTGAGTCGTCTCGAAAATTCACATAGTTCTCTGATAATGTTATAAGTCCTAACCAACTCGAAGGTCGCCATTCCTTATTGTTTTTATCACCAATCATACATGGAATGATTCTTAATTGTTTTTTCTTTGCTAGTTCATTAGCGTATCCTAATTCAAGTCGATAATTATGCGATTCCTGGTAAGTCGGTGTCATAAAACAACAAACGACAGCAGCCTTTTCTACTCCTTCTACCATACTAGTCCAAAATAAGAATGTAATTTTTTAAATTTAAGAGAGAGGAACTTTATCAACAGCCTTACCTAATGTTTATGTTGTCTCCCATACCACCTTTTATATCCATCCAAACTTTTATACCTGATTCAACTAGAATATCGTAAACTTTCGATACAACAGCTTTGCTATCCCAATTATATGAGAGCATAACGTGTTTTTCCTCTGCGTGTGCCATTGATAAGTATGAGAAATAGCCGCAGTTTTAATCTTCTATCTAATTCTTTTGTCTACAAAATGAAAACAACACTTCTAGTTATTTTTTTAAATATGTTTTTGTTCCGATTACAAAACCATTTTTCTAGTTCAAATAGTACAGTAGCGTATCTTTATACCTGCGAAAGATTTGTTCAGACAAAGTTCAGCGCTTTATTGTCAACTTCATCACTAGGATAACTCATCAAAATAATCTTAAGCATCTCAATAAAACAGGTGCGTTCCTTTTCGTCCTCGCTCTTCCGAACATCCGGTTATTTGTCCGGATGTTCGGAATCGACTTTAGAGAAAAATATCGTGTTTCTGGATGTTCGGAATGAAAACCGTGCAGGTGTTCGGAACGAAAAATACGCGATGTTCGGAACAAAAAATACGCGACGTTTGGAACGAAAAATACAGTATGTTCGGAACATAAAATGACGGCTGTTCGGAGCAAAAAGTGACGGATGTACGGAATGAATTTTGGTGTCTGTTTTTTAACATAGAAAAGGATTCATTCATATAGTATCTTTTAAGTCCTTGAGTGTAGCGACCTCTTGTACATTCAGTTAGAGTTTTTTAAAGTAGTGTAGAGTTTACTAGTGAGCGATAGATCTTACAGATAGATAGTGTAAATGAGTAGTAAAAATAAAGATCCGCTTTTCGCGGAGCCTAGCATCTCGAATATGATTGGCTGAGACGACTATTCGTGTAACACAATGAATTGGTTTGCTGATTCACATAATGGTCATAAGTTGCCATTGTTCTTGAACAAAGAAATAGATGATAACAATATGAAACAAACACCAAAAAAGAAAAAATCGAGCCATGCAGTAAAAAAACATTAGACATAATGATTTTTTTTTCTCTAATATAAGATAATTATTCTCTCTCTTTTCATTATGTGCAAGGAAAGTGATAGATTAGATTTGTTATTATTAATATGTGTGCCATATTAAAACTTGAATAATTATTTGTTATCTTATGATTTTTTTTTGTAAAAGGTTATATTAGAAAATTAAAAAAAAAAGCTATATTATAACGAACACTGGTTTTTTTCTGTTCCGAACATCCGAAGTATTTTGTTACGAACATCCGCCACTCGCTATTACGTACATCCGTATTTTTCATTCCGAACATCCGTCACTTTTTATTCCGAACATCTGTCATTTTTTGTTACGAACATACGTCATTTTATATTACGAACATCCTGTATTTTTCGTTCCGAACATCTGGACGACTTTTACTCCGAACATCCGGTGTTTTCTATTCCGATCTTCCGGATTTTTCATTCCGAACATCCGGTATATTTCAAAGCAACTGGGTTTCGGAACGACCACCTATGACCGGTGTCCGTAAAAAAAAACGAGGACGAAAAGGGAGCCCCCCAATAAAACTGCTTCAGAAAAACGTTGATTCACAGTTCACAAAAATAAATTTGTACTTATTCTATCGCTAATATACTTACAGTGAATTCTTGAAGCTAATGTAAAAATAAAAATCGTTTGTCGCGTTTCTCCGCAAATATTCATCATCATTACTACCTTGCTTTACGTTTTCTAACGATGATTTCTTTTTTACGAGCGATTATCAGTTGAAGAAAAGAGAACTGCTCTATAAAACTCGACACTCATACCAGGTAAAGTATATCTCTACTCAAGGTTAAGGACGTTTACGTCTACTTTTTATTTCGTAACAAGAAAGACGTTGTCAAATAAAGCAAAGGACAATATGCCATCTCGTCTGTTAGAAAAACTATATATGAAGATTTTGCGTTCTTATCGTTTGGACGACATTCATTTGAAAGTTTTAATACAACAACTCTCGCCAATGATTGAATAGCAGTGCCTTTTTTGTAATATTATATGTAAAAAGATTATGAATTTGCGCTCATACTTTTATCTCTAGTTTGAAAATCACAAAATAGACAAAAAATAATAATCTTCACAAAAGTATGTTCTTCGTGTTAGTGATTGGTGTTACTGCTCAAGTGTGTACACCAAATAAAGAGTATGAAATCTATAACATGTCATAACAAAAAAGGCCTATATTTGTCATTCACAAATGAATATTGAATAAAAGATCTTCCAAGCATCATGTGTAAAGAAATGCTGTAGAAAACTATCTTGAGGGTGTGAAGGTGGGTGGTGGCATACAGAAGACTCATACACACCCACACCCTAAGAGTTTTAAGTATGACGACTTTTGCATAATTTCGATCAACACGCTTTTTTCACAGTACATACATAGAAATCTTTATCCTTAAAACTCTTATACCTCGGTCAAAATATTTTGAAAAAAAGAATCTGTTGAAGATTGTGGTAGTCTAGTGATGATCTACCCTTGCACAAAATACGAGCTTTAAACATTGTAATAACATGGATGATTCACCTCTTCCTTGGATGTTTCTTGAAAATGGCTCGAAGCTACAGTATTTCAAACAGATGTCACAAAATTTTTTCAGCCAAAGTTATATTCTATCCACTATACGCCTAATTAGCACACAGAAAAATTGATAAAAACATTTTTTTTTCAGAAAAATGGTTGGATTACCAAGGATTTACCCGTATTATTTTTTTACTTGAAAATGAGAATTTAATCTTTTTTTGATTTCATATGTTGATATTATATGAAACTCTTACTTTGTACACTTATGTAACTTTTCTTTTTAAAAAGAAACTATAAATTTTTCTGTTGCTTTAATTTTTTCATTATAAACACTGCTAATTTTAGGCTAGATGAATGAGTATTCGTCAGGAAGAGCGATTGTGGAAATATCCTAATTGAATCATATTTTTTTTTCTCGTATTCAAGTATGGCCATGCTCATGTTCGTGTTCTCTAAGATGATGTTTCGTAAGTTCTAATTTTCTGATTGGTGAGTTGTCGACTAATCTCAATTCAAGATCGCATAATTCTATTTTAGTACTGATCGAAATCTCAGCAAAAGATAATCGTAATTTTGAAGAGAAAATTGAAGAATACGAACTCTTTTCAGGTTTTTTCCGAGTTCCATCAAGATCGTCTTTTATTTATAAAATGAAGTCATCGTTTTTAATGCATTGGAAGTCATTTTCGGTAAAATCATATATTGATTGTTAGAGTTATGTAACAGATCTTAATATTCCGAGTAATCTCTTACGTTGATTTATTAACTTCTAATTAATAGAACATTAATTTTTAGATTTAATTCAATAGATCTATAGAGTATATTTATATTGAATTCTTAAGTTTTCAAATGATATATTGTATTTAATCAATGATAATAAATTGAATCAAATTAAAAGTTTTTGTTTTATGATAATCTGTCTATCACTTCTATTGATATTTGAACTAATTTAAAATAAATATAACTATTTTAGCTCATTTCAACTTTTATTTGAGATAGAAAGTTCGTTTATCTTTTAACAAAACATATCTATTTTTAGTATGTAACACAGTCGACCTTTTTTTTTTATTACGGAGAAATTTATATTAATAATACTCTTTCTTTCTTTCTTTCTTTTCTTTTCTTTTTCCTTCTTCTTTCGATATTCGCGTAATGATGATGAAGCAAAAACCAAATACATATTAATACGTGTACCACGTTTTTTTCTCTTTCTTTGACTATTTAATCTGCGTACTAATAACATTTATGTCAACATACAAACTTTATTATTTTACTAGTCGTGGTCGTGCTGAAGTATCTCGTTTAATATTTGCTACAGCTGGTCAAAAATATGAAGATATTCGTTACGAAAATGATGAATGGCCATCACATAAAGCTGAAATGCCATTAGGTCAAATGCCTGTTCTTGAATTTAATGGTACAAAATTACCACAATCAAAATCTATTGCTCGTTTTCTTACTAAACAATTTCAATTAGCTGATAGAGATAATTTTGAACAAGCCAAAGTTGATGCTGTTGTTGATACAATCGAAGATTTATTAACAAAATGAATACCAGTTTTCTACGAACAAGATGAAAGTAAAAAAGAAGAACTTCGTAAAAACTATTTTGGTGAAGAACTTCCTAAACATTTACAAAATCTCGATGTTTTACTTAAAGATTTTGGTAATGGTGGTCCATTCTTTGTTGGTAATCATTTAACATGGGCAGATTTACTTTTTTATGACTTATTTGAAACCATTCTTGCAATGAATGAAAATTGTTTAGAGAATTATCCACGGTTAAAACAAAATCGAGAAGAAGTTGAAAAACAACCAAAAATTGCAGAATATCTTAAGAATCGACCTAAAACACAATTTTAAAGAAATATTATTTTAGAAAAATATATAATTAAAACACAAGTTGAATGAGTCTGTTTTCTATCTTAGTTTATTTTATGTCAAGTTTCAAATATTTTCGAATTTATGTATCTATCATTTTAATCTATTTATTCAATAAATTAGGATAACACAACAAAAAAAATCACTTAACATATCTGTTCAATTAGATTTATTTGATAGAGATACAGTTTTTTGTTTTGTATAAAAATTTCTAAGAACATTTTGATTATCTAATGTTTTTCTATTGATAAAAAGAATTTCAATTGAAACGAAGACAAACTTTTAGATTATGGCTCGTGTTTTAATACTAAACATACGTACACTTTAAAGTATAGAAATATCTAATTTAAATGATTAGAAACATAAATTCATCTTCAGGTCCTTTGTCTGCTATACCTTGTTTTTAACCTTTCACTACTTCTTGTAGATATTCATGCAACGCTGATGCATAGTAACGAGATAAAGAAAAAAAAAGACTTACATACATGTAATGTTTCCTCTTCTTACATAAAAATAGCTCTATTTAGATGTGACTTATTTATTTATCAATTCATTCTACATACAAACTTTGTGGTTGTGTAGAAATATTTTGTTTAATTTTTATATTAAATAATTACAATCGATATTTATTGCTCGTTTTCTTATTAAATAATATTGAAAAATCCCAAGTCCATTCTTGAATTGGCACGATATTTGTATCTATCACACTCCTAGTTTTTTCTAAATATTTCGATAAATAAAATGATATTGATGATTTGTTAAAAATTTTTTTAGAAAAAAATAAAAGAATTATAAATTCATTTGATGATCAAATTAAAAGATCTTTGAATGAAGAATAGATGAATAAATGTTTATTTTAACAGATTGAGGATAAAATTATTCAATAGTGCCAGTTAAAGGGAATCGAAATAATATTGTTTCAAATGCATACGTTTCAGAAGGAATTTCTAAAAAGAAATGTTTTTATTTTTTTTCTTTGACAGATTCAATTTGATGAATAAATTTTAAACAAGAATTTATTCTTAATGACAATTTTGGGAAATATTTTGATTGATAATTATCAACAAATCGAAGAATATCTTCTCTAATACGTATTTTAGCTTGTTTTTTTGTATTCGAAGTTGAAAAAACTTTTTTATTTGAAATTTTCTATTATTTGATTATCATTTGATGAATTAAGTAATTCATGCAGTCCGGCAGAACTATATTAGCATATGTCTAATATAAGTTTATTTTAAACTCCTCTAAAACTCGATAATTTTCCGAATCAACATATCATATTGTAGAGAATGCACTACTTTCTAAGTGTGATAGTATGGAATCGAAAAAAACTTCTTTGTCAGTTTTTGATCTCTAGAGCACTATGATAGTTTCTCCGAAAGTTGTCAGATAACATCAAAACTCTGATTTATAAATTTTTAAGCTGATGAAATCAAGTTCATTGTGCTTCTATTCTGGGGAGAAATTTATAGAAAAATGGCACATAGAGATATTTAATAATTCAAAACTCATTCATAAAACTCCAACATTTATTACAAAAACACATATGGCAACAAAAGTAAAAATTTCATTTTATTTTTTATTATTATTTATAAATTCAAATTAATTACACAAGGAAACTATTGAAACATTGTGCAAGACGTAAATATGAATTAAATTCTCTTAAAAGACTTCTTAATGAAAATGTTTTACAAGGACATATTCAACTGATGAAAATGCTTACTGTATGCCAGTTATTCTTTCGAGTCGAGTATAAATTTATCTTTTTTATTTAGATAAAAAT